TAATTTGAATGTTTGATAAAATTTTCGAAATAATGCCGATCATCAAAAGTGACGGATACTTTTGGCAGGGGGGTGTAGGTTAATACCATCTGCATAACCAATGAAATCAACCCGATTTTCCATCACGATAAAAATTTTCGTCGCGAATGCCGTTATCTCTGTTCACTCAACATGACTCAATGTTTTTTATAGTCCTATCGACTTGGAAAATGGTGGTCACAAAGAATTTGAATACTTCAAAGCAACACAACCAAAGGACTGGTCCTTCGTTGGCTTTTACACGTTTAGAGAGCGACAAACTGACTTCAGCAAATTGTTTAATCTGGAGGCATTTAAACTTCGAAAAGCTTTGAACCACCTTTTGGAGAATGGTTCTACAGAAGAAAAAGCGTATGCAACAAAGTTATTTGAGGCACTGAAGGTAATGACAAGAAGTTCCGACTGGAGTGAAGCACACAGCTTAGGGTACTCGCCAGGGCTAGGAGGAAGTCTTGCGGGAAAGCCTCTGAAGAACTGCGGTTCGTCCGGCAGAGTTTTCACGTTTTACGACTATGAAGAGATCTTGCGGGATGTCTTCTGATGACTTGCGTGGTCGTCGTAATCTGTTTCGCCCTCTACAGCAAGGGAGTGATACTTGCGGGTATCTTCCTGACGACTTGCGGGTCCGTTGTGGTTATGGCTGTGCTATACTTCATAAATATATTTGTTTGCTTGTCGCGTGAATGGCTAATTCTGATCCACCTATTCATTTTTCACAAAAACCCCATGCAAAAAGCGACACCGCACGAAGGATTGGATTCGAAAGAATTCTGGGACAGGCTGGAGGCGAATCAGGAGCATGAGAAAAGAATGCGAATGTTGAAGATGGAAATGGAAGCATCAGAGGTTAGGTTTGCATAGTTATCTTTGCCCACTTCGAAGTACTAAAGCGATGATTTTGCTTTGTCCTAGTTTGGGGCAGCATGTGGAATAATGGGTCGGATCGAAGGTGGTTTGAGGAGGTCATATGATTCAATTGAAAGTAATGATGAGTCTCCCAGTGCGCGCAAGCTTCGATTAATCCAACAAAGAGAAGTGCTTGTCGACAAAGGTAGGTTATATATGCTATTGATATGGTGCAGTGCACACTCTTTATAGAAACCAGTTAATTATTTATTGACTGACTGGCATAAACTTCTCATAATTCTCAGTTGAGATGACGTCAGCTGAGAACTTCATAGATCTTAGTTCTGATAGTTCCGACGATGATGAGCTTGACATTCCAGAAATCAAACAGTTCATTCGAAAGAGCACACCGATTGGTGATGAACACGATTCCATTATATCAGTATTGAAAAACAACTGTTCAAGATTACTCTCGCAATGGCCATCATTAACACAAAAGGCTGCAGTAAAGTAAGGAATGCAAAACAAGTTGTTGTGAATCCTATTTGGTTGTTGACTGAATATGTGTTTCCCATTAAATGACAGTCTCGCAAAATCATCAATTTTAAATATTGCAAATCAAAATAAGACCAGTTGCATGAGATAGATTGAGAAATGCCCAAGTGCAAAAGCTCTTGTGGACAAAATCATTGATTTAGCAAGATAATGGAAGAAAAAGATGCTTTCTTTCAGCTTTAATGATCAACTTACTTTTATAATTCATGATATAGAAGAGGTAGAAGAGGTTTTTGAAATTTTATTATTAGTGATATTCTTTTGTGTTTACCTAATTGTATGTATTTCATTATTCAGATTGCTCTTAAACAAGATGCAGTATGAGTGAGCTCTTCACCATTACATGTCATTGAAATGTGATACAAAAGAAGAGCATAATATAATTATTGATGTTTACATATATGTGTAAGTACAAAAGTTATCTAGTACTAAATATTTCAATAAATAAATGTTTATTAATTTCTGTTGGCAGCTTGTAAGTCTTTAGATATAAATCAAATATGTTTATAATATTTGATCAAGATTTTTCTGAACTTGATTTTGTAATTAAGATGATGGCATTTATCATCAAAATCATATTTTGAGATGTGAATGATATTTTCTTCTTAAAATGATATGAATTGTATATTTTCTAGTATTTAAGTTGAATGATTTATGTTAATATCAGGAATAAGCATGCTTTAATAATAATTAAGCTTGATATCAAAGCAAGCAGACAGGAAGATGAGAAGTAACAAAATTTAATTGATTGCAAATATGACTTGATTATTTGATATCATATATCAAAGTTTGAGATCAGTTTGAGTAAGTTTGCTAATAACATAACCTAAGATAAGGCTATATGTGATCAAGAAAAGAATTTGAGATATATTACTGATTTTAAATGATTATATTTTTAAGAATATTAAATAATCATGCTTTTATAAAGTAAGCAAGTTCATGTATGATCAAATTATTTATAATTTTTAAATGAAAATGTAGAGAAGTTATATATTATTAAGCTTTAAGTTTCTGATATGTTGCTTAAAAAATAGATTACCAGTTCTAATGTGAATATATAGAAATTGATATTCAAAATTCACTTCATGATAGGATTGAAAGAAGAATATCTTGCTATTACTCTCTCTTTCAATGATTTATATATTAGATTCAAATATAAGTTACTTATTTTATTCTTATAATTATTAGCTGGAATTAAAATCTTGCGATTAACTATTAAAGATTTATTTGAATAGAAGATATAAGTATTGAGCTCATGATGAAATTTCTTGATCTATTATTAATATTGACATCCTGATTATATGTTTATTAAAGAACTAGCATGTTAATATCAGCAAGATGCTTGATAAATATTATGAAAAGAGATCTTTACTCAGGTATAATAAGTTATTTGATTATAAAAAATAACTGAATAACCATCAAGACTATATCAGAGCTATATATTTTACTTCAAAATCAGAAAAAAACAAGTTATAATTGTAATATATCTCAGATAGTTTAGAAGATAGTTGCTATAGAATTATAGGCTTAAAAAAATCTTCTGAATAATGATTTTTTGAAAAATATGATTTAGAATAATATTTTAAACTCAATGATTAATAAATTTATTAATTACTTATTACTTGTAAAATATTACTTACAATTCACAAATAAAAAAAATTAACTTTTCTATTTTATAGAACAAGTTATTATTATCAAATTTATATATAGAATTAATTGTATATGAAAAATAGTAAATATAATAATTTCACTGAATATAAAAAAGCTATGCATTTCTTGAAAACAGATTGTAATTATAATTATTCAAAAAGAATTTTAAGAGAGAAGTTTACTAAATTATGTGAAGAGTTTCAAGTTCTTTCTAGATCCAAATAAGACATATTTCTAATGACCTAGCTGAAAGTAATGAATGATAAAAAAATAATAACTAGTCAATATCTTAAAAATAAAATATGTATCAATAAGTAAATATTTTACTATTAAGATCATAATATACTACTTTATCAGAAAATATATTTTAATATATTAGAAATAGATTATACATATTTTGAAAATATCAGAAATCATCTGATAGTGAATAATATAATATAAGTGTTGCAATAGAAAACTAAATTCATTATTGATATAATTATTACTATCATCATGAAAATTTTTTTTGAAAACTATACTAAAATTCATAAGTTGTCAAGCTCTGATAGAAATATTAATCATATTACTTAATCACTTACATTATTACTAGCTAAAATAAGTTATAAATCAGTTTATTACAATTTTATTGCTGATCTTGAAAATGATAATATATTAAAATTATTAAAATATGATGCATTCTATAAGCTATAATACCAATTAATATCTTATATTCAAATTATGAGTTCACAAATGGATTTATGTAACATGTATCAATATTTTTGAAATGACTTATAGTATAATACTTATAAGAAAGAAGAAGCAAAAGATTTATTGAAAATTTTCAAAAAATATCTAGTTAAAACTAAATTAGAGAAAAACTATTACTACAAAAATATAAAATTAACAGAATAATAAAGAAAATTGATAGATAAGCATTTTAGAACAAGAGGTAAAGCTGATTATTATAATGTTAATGCAACTTCTTATTATAATTACAATTGAGCACAAAATATTCATGTATCTTATTTTAACTAATAGATAAATAAGATTTATTATTCTAGTTTATGCAAAGTATATTTATTTGATATTTAAGATAAAATAGTATACAAATAAATTAATTATATTCTTGATGAAGTTAAAATTATTGGCAAAGATCCTAATAGTACACTAAGTTTGATATTTGATAAGATTAAGAAATTGAATAAAGATAAAAAGGATTTGAAGATTACTTGTAATAATGCTAGTGATCAGAATAAAAATAATTTTACTATTTAATTTTATCTATATTTGGTAATCTGTGATTATTATGAAAGTATTAAATTAAATTTTATGATATCAGAACATATTAAATTCAAATATAATGGTAATTTCAGATTGATTAAGAAACTTTACTAAAAGATGATAGTGAATTGTATAGATTATATTGTTGAGATTATGAAAAAATTAAGTATCACAGAATTAAATAAGGCTTAATGCTATGATAATGGACAAGTTTTTTAATATTTAGATCTTAATTCTATATTAGGAATTTTCTTTAAAAAATTGAATGATTTACAAAAATATTAGCATTTTCTCTTTAAAATAACTTATCCAGGAGTTATCAAAGCTTAGCTAATTGCTAATGATTTGTATATTGAATTTAATTTGTTAAAAATTAGAAAAGTAAATATTTCTGAAATTACCAAAGAAATTAAATCTTTTTTTATTTTAGTTCTAACTCCATCTTCTTTGGATTACAAAAGATAAGAATATCTTTATCACAATATTCATCTATTTATTAGAGATGAATTTAAGAATATTACTTATTTCAAATCAATCTATACTGATAATGAATAAAAATATTATAGTCAATTATAAATTTATTACTTTATTAGTTTTTATTTATTTCTATTATTATTAAATTTAATCTTTTAATAATATTAATATTAAAATATAATATAGGAATTAAATCATAACATTTAATAAAAATGATATAAATATAATAGATAAAACAAAAGGATATTCTAATTATTATGAAGAAATTCTTAAATCAGAAGAAAAGTTTATCTTTGATAGTAATCTTTTAAAACTAAATGGCATTTTGGATAATATACTTCTTCAAGATACTGCTTAGTTATTAAATAATTGAAAAGAATTCAGAGAAAAAATAAAAAAAGAAAAAATGGGTTTAAGTTTAGCTTCTTATACTTTGTTGGCTGTCATATTAAAAGAATAAAAAGCTGAATTTATTTTTTATTAAGTTATTAATAATCTAAATAATAATAAACCAGTTGATAAGATTATTAATCAGTTTGAAGATATTTTATTTACTGAATCTGATTCTGAATTTGATCAAAAAATAAAAGAGATAGCACTTAAAATTAATAATTTAAAGAAAAAAAGAAAAGCTATTAATAAAGAAATTAAAGAGTTAAAAAAGAAATATAATGATTTACTAGGAAAAAAATAAACTGTTTTAGAAACTAAGATTAATATAGCAGTTACTGTTTTAAAAAATAATTTTAAAATTATTGATGCAGATGATTGTAAATTTTTTAAAGAAACAATTAAGAGTAATAAAATTATTTTAGAAGAAAAATATAAATCTGATATTCCTGCTATTCTTGATAAAACTTATGGTTTAGTGATCAAAATTAATATTAATGCTAGTAGCAATCATAAATTTTATACTAATACTATTTATTTAAGTATGAATTTTCAAGATCAAATTTGAAAAATTCTTAAAAAAATTGATAAAAATAAACTTTTTGAGTATATTAATTCTTCAGATTATTCTTGAAATGCTAAGAATAAGAAAAAGTTTAAAAAAATATTTTCTTGAGTTATAGGCTTAAAATTAAAACTTTTTGATTTTGATAATAAAAATATAATAACTGGTGTAAATAATGAGAGATATGTCAAAAAAAATATAGAAACTCACTAATATATGAGTAATATTTTCTATGTTATACATGCTCTCTTTCTTGAAAATAGTAATTATAAAGATAGCTCTTTCTTAAAAAAAGATGAAAAGAATTATTTGCAATTTAATAATACAGAAAAGAGTATTGATACTTTTTATACTGTATATTGATGAGATAAGAATGCTAATATTATTAGAAAGAATTATATTACTTCTTTTGATGATAGTATTAGTATTATGAAAGCTTCTTTTTCTTGTAAAGTAAAAAAATTAACTTGAGTGAATGGACAAATTCCTAAATTTTTTGATAAGTTTATAATAATAATGAAGCTATTGATTTTAGTGCTTGTCATATAGTATTAAGTTCTGATATAGTTAATGATGTAATAATTTAAGATAAAATATCTATTTATGAGAATAAAGTTTGTTTTAAATATTCTTTACTTGTTAATAGTAGTATTTTAATTGATAAATATGAAAAATATATTGAAAATTTACTTAAAGATTTAACAGAGATAGGCATTACTATTCTTATTTTTCAAAAAGAAGAATTAGAAAGT